CTAGTCTTCTTGTTGGACAACATGCTCTCGATGTTCTTGCCCATCTCCTCAAAGTCCGAGTCCTCGCCCGATGTGGATTCCTCGTCTGTGGATAACGTCTCCGTGGAAGCCAGAACCCTGGGGGAAGTTTTATATATATATATATATGTGTGTGTGTGTGTGTGTGTGAGGCAGTGTGGTGAAATCAGGCGCTCGTCAAAATAACGAAATCGGAGAAGCAAGCATGTTTCCGCTAGTTCGGAAATTGTTATCGAATTTTTAATTTTTGGTTTAACCTCTTTTCAGTCCTTATAAAAACACATTTCCAGGTGAATTTTACTAGAAACAATTGATTAAAAGCACAAAATATGTCCGTTTTCAGTTTTCAGAGACTCCTTAGCTATTGGAGTTACCAAACTTGGGAGGCCATTTTCTCGCTAATTTCACCACTGAAACCAGGCTACCTCACTTCCTTCAATTGCAAATATCTTGAATTCTATTCCAGATAAAAGGGATGTTATTTCATTGGAAGCAAGGCAAATAAATCAGCTTTCAGATGATACCAAGCGCCCGGTTCCACCGCGTGGTGACACATATACATTTATGGGAACAATGTGGCAAATGTGTTTTCTATATACATATTCATGTACTGATCACATTTTATTACTGGAAGAATTTACTCTCAAATTCCTGATTGTCAAATCCAGGAGAGTTGCAGGATACCAGGCACAGTCGACAAACCTGTTTTTCAACCATCAGACGGAACCAGACCTAGAATATGAGAAGTTGGAAAGCACAAGGCAGTCCTCACCTATTCTGCAAGTCAAAGATTCGCTGGCATTCCTCTTTGTAGCGCTCCATGTGCTCGGCAGCAGAGTAGCGGTTTCCACGAGCAAACTTTACCCAACCTGGGAATACACAACGCACAGACAACGTTTCACGGTGGGAACACATGAAAATCTTACCCAATCTGGGAACATGCCGCATGGACAATGTTTCGTGAAGGTACAGTCAAACATCATTTGTGAGGCAGCGTGGTGGAATCAGACTCTCGTCAAAATAATCAAAGTGAAGAAACTGGCATTTTCCCCGCAGGTTTGTGAATTTTTTTCAAATTTTTGTTTTTTGGCTGAACACCTTTCATGTCCATTTAAGAACACATTTCTGTATTGATTTTTCTGAAAAACATTGATTAAAGGCACAAAAAAAGAAAATTTTTAGTTACCACAGACTCTTAAGCAAAGGAAATAACTAATCTTTGGCGGCCATTTTCTCACTAATCTTGCCTCTGAAAACCGATGACCCCCACCCCCTTCATTCGCAAATTAACTTGACTAATGTTCTAGATAAATGGATATTTTTTCACCTCAAATAAAGACAAATGAACAAGCTTGAAGATGACACCAATAACTCCACATGCCCAAAAATTGCCGAGAGCCTGATTCCACCGCGCTGCCTCACATTTGTTTTCTCCTCATATTACTTCAGAAAAAGTCAGTAAATGTAAGGATCTAATGCCACTATCTCAATACTGTTAGGTCATTGAAGAGGAGAGACTTTCGAATTCAGCATCTATCTG